TTGATTCACATTCATAACATTAAATGTTGCGAAAAAATTGTTTACAAAACGAAATGGTTTGAATATCTCACCTTTTTAATTTCGTAGTTAAACTTTTGGTATGAAAATGCCCTGATATAAATGTTTTTATGCCATATTTTTAAATGGATCAAGGTTTTGACAAAACTTTTGAAGCTTTAAGGTATGTTTTTAACTTTATTTTCGCGGACTATATTTGTAATAAAAATAACAAGCTTTTTATAACTGTAACTAGTTCACTTATATACAACTGTTTTTGTGCTTATTGTTTTAAAGTTCTTATAACATTTAACTAAAACATTATTTTATTAAACAGTTTAATACTATAAATAAAAGTTTTGCCACAGAGCTATATAAACAATTTTTATTGTTTTTTGCTATAAATGTAAATAATTAAAATATTACATTTTTATTCCTTCAAAAAAATTTTAATCTTCAAATTGAAGCTTAAATTAAAGAGGATCTTATAATTTGATTCTATTATTAATTAGAATCAAATATAATACAATATTGGAGACTATAAAATAAGTGAGTCCTCAAGAGAGAGTTGGAGGAAATATTTTCGAACTACTTAATTTTGGAATTTTTGCAGGTGACACTATCTAATAAGATCATTTAATATCAGCCCCTAAAAATATCATATTATTTCTTAAACCATACAAAGTCAACTTATGGAGTGTTGTAGTGAGAATTGTTAGAAGATTCTTATTTCTTAAATCAATAATAGTAAATACTATTCAATTTTAGCTGATAAAGCACCTGTTGTGCCAATCTTAAATAGTAGTCTATTGTTATAATATATGCAGGCAATAACTATAATACTCGTAAAGATTTCTTAAAGTTTGTTAAATGTCCTTAATGATTTAAATGTGCTCTTAGTCAAAAATTAGAGGCATGTTTAAATAATTATCTTTCTGTTGGCAAATCAAAGCTAATCTATGTCTGTTTTGCTTGTTGGGCTTAAAGCAGAAAAATCTAGACATTTTTTTTAGCTAAAGTCTCTGCATAGTTGATGTTTGAATTTTATTTCAAAAATGTAAATTTAGTTTTAACCAAAATTTGAAGGGTTGAATTGTTTAGATTGTAATTAGACTCCAAGATAAGCAATGCGTCATGTCTCAAATTTCAGAATCTTGAAATTGACAATTAAACACGCTTCAAGAGATTAAGTTTGGTATTGATTTATATCGCTACAACTGGTTTAATATTGTTTTTGAATTAGCTATGACTTTAAATGTAAAAGAAAACAAAAAACTAGAAAATGTAGAAAGCAAATTAATCATGATAATCATTCATCATCTGATTATTTTAAGCTTTCTATCACTTTACCTTTGCTGGACCATCTTATTAATGGGCTTATTAATTATATAAGATTTCAAACAGAAAGCAAGTTGGTTTATATGGGATGTTTGCAGTTCCAACTGTTATGTTAAGTTACCTGAAAACTAACTAAGATTTGCAAATCTACTTTTATGAATTTCTAGATATCTATCATTCCAACTCTGCATTCAACCTTTATACATACGGAGTTGGATTATAGAAGCCTCTTCAGAAAGATCAGTCAAAACCCCCATCTAGTATTTTTTTAAACAAAAGTCATGACAATGACTGATTTCCCCCCAACATTCTTGAATATTTTAAAGATTTACTTCTTAGGTACAATACCAAGAGATTAAAAACTTAGTCAAGAAGTAGAGTGTTAAAAAAGTCATTGAAAGACCTAGCTTTAATGTCAATTTATACCAAATTGGTTTTAGATAAAGACAGGGTTGACAAAAATTTTTCAGCTTCTGAAGAGAGATGTTTAAAGTTGCTATTTAAGCCCTAAATGACTGGCTATGATTGAAAAATAATTGTATTTATGTCTGAATAAAATAAATGAATATCTCTTATATTTACAATAATTTTTTTGTTTTTTTCCATTGTTTAATTTTCTTTTAGAGCATCTAATTTTTTATTTGTTATAAATGGTTAATAAATGAATTTATTTTCTATTTTGTGTAAATTTCATAATCCTTTGCATCTAAAATGTTAAATATTTTAAAAATTGTTTTTAACTAAATAATGTAAACCACTGAATTAAAAATTTAAATGTGTGTTAATTTTGTTAGAGTATGCTATAAAAAGAGTGCTCGGTAATCATTAAAAACAAAGATGTAATAAATTAGCTTCCTGAGGATTCTATAGATAGTGAGACTGTTCAAATCTTTTTTTTTTAATATATAATTATATATAGTAGTATACAACTTTAAAGTAAATATATTTTGAATAAATCACAATATCATATTGTTAATGCAGTAATAGTTGCATTTATTCTATTAGTAACAAAAATATAAAGGAAAGAATCCAGAATTGGAGAGCTAACTTAAGGCAGCGTTACAACTTACATATGAAGTGCAAGGTCCTATGGCTTACCTTCTAGTTAGTGCACTTCGTTAAGTAAGTTAGACATTATGTTTAAATTACGAACAGAATAGCCAAGGCAAATATTAAAAATTTTACCATTAATTATTTTACTAGAATCAATTAAAAATAAATGAAAAATATGTGTCCAAAAAGTGAATTAAAGACGCTCAGATAAAAAAAACTGTCTGGAGGCGTCTACATGACGTAATTATCGGACGTCTTTTTGACGTAGACTAACCGCCTAATTAAATAGTTGCAAGTATGACGTAATTTTGCAAATTTTAGCTACACCTATACAAAATCCTAGATCCGCCCCTGACCCTGTTTTAACTTTTTAACTCCAAAATAAACTAAGACAGCGGCATGAGACCAGAAAAACATATAATAATATTAATGTTGTTCCGAGAGCATTTTGTTTTTAGTTTTGTTAACAAAATAAGATATAACTTATTGCTTTTTATTTTGTTCACTTTCATAATGCTGTATAAACAAAAATGTGATGCAAGTCCTGTTCTAAATCGCAAGCGCTTAATGCCTCTAATACAAGAAGAACGTACCTTTAATTCCACAACTGAAAACCTCCTCCATACACCAATAAGTCACTCAAAAAGTGAAAATTTATATTATGTCTTATTTTAATTACTTTAAACAAACTATTTGTTATCTACAGCCTAAACTTCATTTTTAATAAAAGTCTTAGAATTTTTTTTTTTTGTCAAGTTTTCTTTAATTTATATATATATATATATATATATATATATATATATATATATATATATATATATATATATATATATATATATATATATATATATATATACTGCTAGATGCCGCAAAAGGTCGACGCTGTGTAAAATGCTGTGTAAGGGCGACTTACAAAAAATTTTAGTTTTGATTTTAAATCACATATTTAACACAAGCATATTGAATATGATGTATGCATTATTTTTTTTTTTGATTTTAACCATGTTAGAGGACTAAAATATTTAAACAAATTTGAACTGTCGCCTTTAATTTTTGAGTTAAAAGACGGCTGTCGCCCTTAATTTTTTACCGTTAAAATGGTTATAAAGGCGACAGTTATTGTTTCTGTTAAAATTGCCAACTATTTAAAAAAAAAGTTCATGTATTAACTATTTTGCAAAAAAAAATCAACTATTTTGGCCTGCTTTACTCATGTTAGAACACTAAACTTGCAAAATCTATTTATACAATAATTGTTTAAATAGATTATGTTCAAACATGCTTAAAACATGCCAAAATAGTTGATTAAATTTCCGGCATATGCCAAAAATAGCAGATAGTTTTGGCAAAAAAAAAATATTAAAGGCGACATGTTGCCTTTAATTTGTATTAATCAATAGAAATTAAAGGCGACATGTTGCCTTGAATTTGTATTAAATAATTCAAATTAAAGACGACATGTCGCCTTTATTTTTAATTTTTTTTTTTTTTGTTAATTTCTTTAATTGAATCCCCATGTCACCTTTATGAACTTATTGCTAAAAAGAAAAAAAATTATAAATAATGCTAAAATTAATAATCGATCGTTTTTAGATTTGCCATAGTTTATATAATCAATATTTTATCGTATTTTGTTTTATTTCAAAGGCTTCAACGTTGTATGCATCATTTTTTTTGTCGCTGTTTTTTAAACATTTATTTGTTCATTGTTAGGAACGGGGAAGCCATGTTGATTTAGCCAAGTCTCGCTTATGCCTTTTTAAGAAGCAAAAAAGAACAAAATTTAAACACGTTTAAGTATTAAAATATCTTTAAACTTTAATTTATGAGTACTCGGCGTAGCTAAGGTGATTATCAAATTATTCCATTTTCTTTTATTTAAAAATAGCGTGATTTTATAAGCATATTATGTCCAAACAGAAGCCTTAAATGTTATAATATTTTTTGCTTCAGGTTCTTTCAATATTTGAAGATTTCTCTTTTTTATACAATTTCAAAACCTTTTTACTACCCGTAATAGTGATTCTAAAGAACACCATTTTGGAGTTTTTAAATCAATTCCGTTCATCAAGGTTAACATGAAATGAGTTAAAATCTTTTAAAAAAGTTCCTCAAATTACAATAGATCTTAATTCTAATCGGTTTTGACGAATATTAGCTATATAAAGTTGTCAAAATACAATATTTCTATCAATTTTTACAAAAAATACTAGAATTCGGACCAAGGAAAAGCTTTTAATTAAGAAAAAGCGCCAATAAGCAATCAGAACAGATCATATTATTAAACTATGTTCATTTTACCTATTTATTTAAAATCTTATTCAAATTTGGACAAGCGATTGGGTTTTAAGAATATTTATAAAAAAAAAAAAAAGATTTTGAGGTCTAGTTTTTTTTGCAATAAATATTTTTTATTTTATGATACCGCAAAATTTATCATATTAATTTTTTTCGTATTTTATAATTCGCTGACCTGATCATTTAAAAGAATTATGTAATAGTCAACAAAATATCATACAGACGCTATAATTATTTAAAACTACCTTAACTACACCGAGTAGCAAAGTGGTTGTATAAAAAAAAATATTTGTTTATAAATCTCCTCAGTAAAATAAGTTTTTACAGATAATTATATTTGATTTAAAAAAATTCTACTGTTGCAAATTCAATTCATTTAGATGTTTTTGAGTAAGTCGTCTTACTTTAACACGTTTATTTGTTAGTTTAGTTCGAACTGTTTTATACGACAATCCGATGCCACTTTCTTTAACAAATTTTCGGAGAGTTTTTTGATCTAAAAAAATAATTATTAAAACTTGTTTCGTGTAACCATGTGTTCATAAACATAATTAACAGTATTTTGCAAATAGAAAATTAATACTTTGAATTATATCTACTCACCAGGCATAGCGTCACGCTCAATCTCTTTAGAAAACCTCTCAAGTAATAGTTTCTCAGTTCTTGAATTCCAGCAATGATAAGGTCTGCTTACTATAAAATTTATAGTTTAAGTCATAATCTACTACTCTTTTTATATATCATTGGGTCAATTTTCTTATATTATACTATTAAACTGATAAACTGACATTGAAAAGAAAGAATTGTTCAACTTTTAGCTACAGCATCCAACTTTTACTTTCAGACTTACTGACTTAAATGACAACAAACTAAAATTATGTTGTAAATATCTAAAATATACCTGATTTTAATTCTTCGTCGTCTGATACAGAACTAATTTCTTTTAAAGGGTCAAAACATTCGTCAGAAGAACATTCCATGTTGGTGTCAGAAGAACATTCCATGATGGTTTCCGAATCCACTGCATTTTTATTTTTATCTTCAGAACCCACTGCATATTTGCGCTTAAAATTTTTTCTTAATGGATAGGTTTTAGCTAAAAGTTAAAGTGAATATTATAAAAAAAAGTTGCAAAACCAATTTAATAAAACTGTTCTTTATCTATTTTGTTTAAACAGTTTTTCGAGACAATCCGATACCACTTTCTTTAACAAATTTTTGGAGAGTTTTTTGATCTGTAAATATATTCATTTAAACTAGTTTTGTTTATGTGTTTAATAAACATAATTAACATGTGTTCAATAGACATAATTAACAGTATTTTGCAAATAAATTAATAAAATTGATATTTTGAATTATATCTATAACTCAAAATATTATATCTAATATTTTGAATTATAGTGAAGATACTCACTATGCCTTGTGAGTAGATAAAGACAGCTTTAGTAAATTGATTTTAAATCAAATAACTGAAATATAAATGATTTCTAACTAAATACATTTATGTTGGTAACAATAGAAATGGCACTAAAAAAATTTTTTTTTCAAACGAACATACCTACAGTGACCACTTTTCTTTTCTTTTCTTCATTTTTTTGTTTGGTTTTTAGCAACTGTTTTTGCTAAATTCAGTTAAAAATAGAAACTCATACTTTAAACCTTTACTAAAAAAAACTTTTGAAACCAATATAAACATTCCACAATATTGAAAAATTTGAACTTTACTTACACAAATCAAAGTTTAGTAGATGTTTTCCAACTTTAACAGTTTCCATTAAGGCAGGAGGAACTTGATAAGTGCCTTCATTGACAGCAGCTGAATGACCCATGTGTTTGTAAAACAACTCCCTGTCTTTCTTTGGCAAATCTAGAGCTGAGAAAAGAGTACTAACACGATGACGGTTCGAAGTTGCTTTTATATTTTCGGGCTTCTTTAACTTAAGATTATTTATAATATTATGAACTGCATGCCATCCTGAAGTGTGCCTTTCAGATAATTTTGTCCCAGCAAATAAAAAAGTGTTACTCTTTAAAACATTAACAGAACTACGTACATTAGGATCAGCCAGTTTTATTAACGCTGGCATAGTATCTGGTGGAATAAGAATTGGGAACAAATGGTTATTGCCTTTTCCACACATGTAAGTTATTTTGAGATGTTTTACTAATCTTTGATCCATTTCATCAAGTTCAAAAAGTCTTTGTTTGTCAATCCATGAATCATTAACTGCATCATTGTACTCATCAATTTGCAATCGAGCTGGCTCTCCTCCTAAAAAGTAAATTAGATTAGTTTTTATAGAACTTTCAAACTAAAACTATAACTTTAATGGACAGTGACAATGGAAAGTGAGTCAAAAGCATAAAAAGTTTGAAACAATTTTCACAAAAAAGATTCAAAACCAAACCTCTTCGCCCATTTAACAAAGTCAATCTTGCACATGCACAGTCTCGCAGCTCAACAAAACTTGATATATCAAAAAAATCATAAGACTCGTCTGTAAGGTCTTTTATTCTTTTAAAATATGCTGTCTAAACACATATATATCTTCTTCATCAGGTAACTGTGATAGTTTTCGCAATTTTATATTTTTATTTTTCTTCCCTTCCTCTTCTTATTAGTCTTCCCACATTTCAAGAATGCTTACAAATTTATCAATTTCACTGGAAATAATATTTTGACCTTGAGCCAGAAATTAACCTTTCAATACTTTTGCTGAGCGTTTAAGTAAATAAAATAATTTTTGCTTTAATCCTGCTTTTAAAGTAGAAGTATCGGATGTAGTATATATCTCTATTGTCTCTCTCAATGCATAAAAATTAACACGAGTGAACATATCGTGAAGACTTTTAAAAGTTATTGTTACTTGTTTTTGTTGCAGAAATATAACTTACAAGTTCGCCAATCGTCTCATATCAGTACGTACTGAGTTTCTGACAGCGATAGCTTTTCCGAACTTACGCTTTTCTTTATTAAAAAACATACTCCCAATACTCAGTATCATAGGGTCTGAGCAACAAATCTGTCCTATATTATCAGTTTTAAATGTTGCCAAAAATTTTGTGCGAAAAGCTTCACTAATATTTACATTGTCTGGAACCTGTAAGACTCTTACAGGTATAGGAATAATTGTTTGGCAAGAATTTTTTTGACACCTTTTGACATGGCTATACCAATATCTTCTAGAGGCAAACATTAGGCATTTGTTGCAATAACTTATACCACTTTCAACTTTAGCTGAGCGTTCTCTTTCATATTGTGGATTCTCTTTTCTAGCCTCTATCTGGGTAATTTCAAAAATACCTTGTCTTTTTAGCTTTTGAAAAACAAATCGTTGTTCCTCCTTAGGCAAAGACAATGCTTTAAAAACATCAGGTTCATTTTTATGCTTTGTTTTTATGTGGCGTTTAAAATAAGACGAGTACTTTTTACAAAAAATACAAAAACTGTAGGGTTTCTTTTTCTTATTTTGTTTTGTAATCTAAAAACAAATACTGTGATTGGTAAAAAAAATCAGGTTAAATAGAATAAAAGTAAAATATATTACTTACAGCTTCTAAATTAGTGAAAATTTCTTGATTGGTTTGATTGTTGAAACTAATATCTGTCTCTATTATACTAATATCTGAGTCAAGACAAAGTGCAGAGTCATTTTCGACATCTATCTAAAAAGATTACCTTAATTTTTATTATTTCACAACACATCTGAATACTGCACTACAACAACACAACAAATCAAAACAAAAACATCAATTCAGGTTTTTAACACAAACATTTTTAATGTACAACAATATTTACAGACTGATAAGATTAATTAAAAATAAAAATGTCGAATGATAAAACAAATCTTGAAATATAATTAATTTTGTTTAGCTGTTTTTATTATTAAGTTAGTTGTATCAGATTTATAAATATATATATATATTTTTTAGATCATTTAATAAATAGATAAATTTTTAAAATTTTAAATTTCAAATTTTAACATTATATGTAAGATCACAAAACAGTTTTACCTGATTCGGTAGAGCTTTATTTACCACAAAATCAACACTCTTAAAAAAAATTAAATGCATTTAAAAGATATAAAAAAACAATTATAAAAGCTAAAGTTAAATAATATGCAAACAGAAAATATAACAAACATACAGTTTCACTACAAACTGAAGAAGTTTTGTATAATTGACCGAAAGTTTCAGATAAAGCTGGATACATTTCAAGTGAATAAAATTGGCTTAAAATAAAATGTAAACATTTGTTAAAAAAATAAAAAACATTTGAATATATCTGTGATATATGAAAAATAAACTTACTCAAAAGACAAGTCTAAAACTGATCTATGACCATTAAAATCTCCAACATAACTAAAAACTGTTGACTATCATAAAAGAAAAAATACTTTGCAAGCAGCTGTTAAAACATTTCTTAACAAACATAATAAAATAAAAAAGACAAAAAAAAGTATAAAAGTAACATATAAATACTTCTGTATCTTCTTCAGTTTCAAAGCAGTTGTCAC